ATCTACGTCTAGTTTTTACATCTATTTTACAGTTTTTATTATAAATGCATTTATATTCCTGGTATGAAAAATAATTTTAAAATTTATTAAACATTTATAATATTAGGTATATTAATTTGCTTAATTATTTACTTGCTTAGTTACTGCATTACGTCTGAAAAACTCCTTACATGAGGCACATGTAATTGCTTGAAAGTTGTAGCCTACTCAAATAAATATAATTATATTACATTAATTTGATAAATTTTATTTAGTTAAATGTCTATATAAAATAATATTTATAAACTACATTACCAACAGCTTTGTCACCACATATTACACAAATTGAATCATCCATGTTAATTATACAAATATTTACTTTGAGAATTTATATAATAATATTACTTTCAAAAACTTCCATTAATGTTTTTGCATGCTAATAAAACAATTAGTTTCATAGTGACATCTTGATAATGAATTTAGTTTTATTATATCACATGGTATTTATAAAAAGTTATAAAACAACTTTAAATTATATCATTATAACTTTATATTACTTTAATTATCAGTGTGAATTCACTATAAAAAATAAAACTAAAGTAATAAATTATTTATGGCTATAAAATGAATAAAAAAATTAAAAATATAAATGACTTTTATAAAATATTTTTTATTTCTTATAACAAATTATAAATACATTAAAAAGTAAAAGCGGAATAATTTACTTTATATTATTTATACTTTATCAATTTTTAAAAAACCAATTACAAGTAATAGATCATAAGCAATTTATTCATTCCGTTGCAGTCGATGATTAAATAATATCATTGTCCACACAATCTCTACAGTCGAGCGTAAATGTAGCCAACAGCCGTGAATATGTACCTGGTTAAAATTTTAATAATCACATTATATGTATTACATTAGTATTTAATTTGTTTTGCTTATAAACTAACCATATTTTAAGGTAATCGTTTCATTACGAGCTAAGGCCTCAGTTAATTGATATTTTTGAGCAGTGTCCTTTTTATCAAACAGGACTGACTCGTCACCCCTAGCCCATGAATACTCCATGTCAACCGTGCTAAATCCATCTAGATGAAACAAATAAATACACACTTATCATAAGCTATTGTAAATGGCATAAAAATAAAATAAATATTATTTAACGCATAACTGTGCATTATTAATTATTTATCACCATGCTACTTACAAGATTCCATTTCTAGTGTACACTCGTTCGACTTAACACTTATCTGCGGTCCGCACTTGTACTCGACTTCAATCCTAAAAATTAATTTTAAAATTATTTATAAATTTATTTATAAATTATAACTAGTATACTAGGATAAAAAGTAGGTTTTTATAACTGGGCTAAGTGTATCCATGTGATTCATATAAAAAACATTCATTAATTTAATCAGTTTTTGATTTTCAAAAATATTAATTCTTTATAATAATTTTATATGATTATTCGTTTATATAAACACTAATTTGATAACATTGTGATTATTTATTACAATTTTATTTAAATTTATTGATTACTCACAAGTAAGGAAATTTTATTATTCATAATATATTTTTTCATCGATTAATATAGGTTTGAGTGTTTTATAAAATTGAATACTCATTTAAAATTATTATAAAGGATTAAAATATTGAAAATCAAAAACTGATTAAATTTATGAATCACATGGATATAAGTAGCCCAGTTATAAAAACCGACTTTTTATCCATATTTATTGCATTCCTAATTTATAACTTGTATATAATATATATAATATATATATATATATATGTGTGTGTGTGTGTTTATAATATACAAAAAGATCAATTGATGAATAAAAATGAATGACTATTGATAAATAATTTATGATGAATGTAAGCTA